GGTTAAATCCAGCAGACCTGGAATAGGCCTGAGCTAAAGTATCTGTACATGACTATTCATTACTGAAGGGATGAAATACACTAATAGTGTTGCTTTGTAACCATGGATCCAAGATGTATGGGGCAGGTTTTAACAGTTTATCAGCAGTGTTTATTGATAACAGTGCAACTGATAATTTACACCTGTTCTGAGACCTTTATAGTCCTCTGCAGTTGGGGCTGCTTACATAGCAAGTGTATGCTTACATTACCTCACAGTGTAAGAAACTTCAGCAATGAACATATTTTTGGCTTCTGGTGAGTTCTGTGCATGTTGCTTCTCACCTGACAGTTAAATTGTCCGCTCAATAGATAAAAATGGAAGTTCATGCCTGACCTTTATCCAAACCCCGTGCTGTGTGGCACCCATTCCCCTTAATAAGTTGCAGATTTGTAAATACTGCCATTTTGGGTCCCATGAGTCTTCTTTAGCAATTTCACCCTATTTAGCTGTCACTGTTAGTGCACTACATTGTTTGAAATGTGGCAGTTCTATAGTTTTAACCCTTGTGGCCATTTCTCAGTATGTAACCTTTTTCTCGCATGAGATATCTATCCATAAGACATGTATAATCTAGTTCTCTTTTCATTATTTAGTGGTCCCGTTTGTTCCTTTTCTCTGCTGACTTTCTCAGTATGCTTGTTAGTTTCTATTTATCTGGGATTCACAATGCACTCTGGCCACAAATAACCTCTCATTTCCTGAGCAGTCTAACAATAGTCTTCTTCCAGTTTATCACTGTAAGGACATGGTAACATTCTATCTGTGCTGTTGGGTTATTCTTTTCCATCAGAGATGCATGCCTGTTTTGAGAGCATGTTTTTTTTTTTTTTATCAACAGAACTGTTTTCCACATGTGCTTCAATCAATATATTTCTCTCCGAGAGGTGTTGCTTTTATACAAGCTCCTACTGGATTTTCATCCACACTTTCACCTAATGATATGCATTGTATGGGTGCAATAACATCTGCCCATGTGTTCTTGCTTCACTTGCTTCTCTATAATCCTTCCCTGGCTTAACTATTAAGTTACGATCAGGGAGTGACCATCTGCTCCTAATCCTTATCTAACTCATTATGTCATCTGCCTGTGGCCTACATGTCCAAAGTTAACTTTCTATCTACTGATAACACATCCATTCCTTTTAAAGCTCCTTACTAGTACCATATAATTTATCAATGCTTTTAAAAAACCCTGTACAGGTATTTGGCTTTTGATACCCCATCTTGCTCTGAAGGCTGACTTAACTGATTTCTCCTCATCATAGATTTCTTAGTTATCATTTGTGTTCATTCTTTGTATAGCCTATTAATGGGTTATTATAACCTTTGTGTTGATTGGCTCATAAACTGCAGACAAACTTTCAGTCCTTTCATTACTCTACATCCAAACTCCAAGGACTAAGAGTTATAAAAAAGTTGAGCCTCACTTTCATGACATGATGTGAAGATAAATAAAATCCTAAAGTTAAATCCTGGGGAACAAAGAAAAGGGCAATGATTAATTCATATTCCAATAAACACTAAAACCCTCAAATTTGGACTGTGAACCGGATCTGCTTAAAGCAATTTTTAAATACTGGGTGTTCTAGTTTTTAACCTATTTATATTGTTCCCAATATTAAAGTCAGAATCATATAAGGATTCTGATCTTATTTTATGTACAACTTAAAAAACTAATAATTTATGAAAGAAATCTTTACTAAGTACCAAGAATGGTGCTTGCTATACCTGCTTTCAAGTTGAGGGGCACTTCCTCAGCCAGGTGACCACACTTACCATTGTCAACATGTACTACTGATAGGATGAGAATGTTTTTGTTTTGTTTTTTGTTAACCTATGTAGTCTTCCTACAAAATAAATCCTGTAACACCAGTGCAATCGTTTAAAAAAAAAAGATATCAATAACACAAACTGAGAGATATTCTACAAAATACCTGCCAAGTACTCATGAACTGTCAAGGTAATCAAAAACATGGAAGGCAGAAGCAATTGTCACAGACCAGTGGAAGCTAAGAAGACATCACAATTAAGTGTAATGTGGTACCCTGGATTAAATCTTGGAATACAAAAACACTAGAGAAAAACTGAAAAATAATGTGTTTAGTTAATACTCCATCAATGTTCGTTGTGACAAATGTACCAGTGTAATGAAAAATACTAACAAGGAGAAATGCGTGAGGAATACATAGGAACTACTGTTGTAACTTTTGTTCAAATCGACAACTATTCTAAACTCAAGTGAATTTTTAAACAATTTTAAAGCACTCCAGGTTAGATAATTCCCTTGTTTTCTGTAATTCAACACTTTTCTGAAAAATCAAGCATGTAGAAAGAGATGCTTTTTGACATTCATTTCTTTTTGGTTGTGCAATAAACTCTGGTGTATCAAAGTGTCAAGACACTGAGGAAAGAAGCAAACACATTCTCTTAGGTACTGGAACTGTCCAGCCAGAAGGAGTGCTGATCTATTGTAGTTTGTGGTACACCAGCCCTGGAGGTCCCATGATACAAACTTTATCCAGAGGTGGGCTCTTACTCCTGGCTCTTTTCTTTGGCAGGGATGCTGCTAAGTTGAGTGCTGATAAGTCAGTGTCAAAGAAATACCTGTTCTCCAATTAATGCTAAAGTTATACCATCATTTCCCTCACACTACATCAACAAAAGATGGGGAACAGAAAACTAGCTTAGGGAATCAACTGACCTGAGTATTTTCCACATACTCAATCTCTCAGATCATACTTGCAGAAAGCAACATGCCCAGGGTTGAGATGTTTTCAGTGGTCCAGGTTTTAAAAATGAGAATTTCAGTTACTTCTTTCTCTGTGCTGACCAAACCATGTAGCCTGAAATGATGACAGGTTGACCAAATATTTCCTAGGTTGAGTATACTATATTGTTTCCCCAAAATGTGAGTATTTTTCAATACCAATGTGGTGCTTGTGACATGAAAGTAGCCCTGATTTTATTCCAATTTTAAACCCTGCTACCCAAGAAGGGTAGAAATTAACTAACTGGTTTGCAATGCTACAGTGTGAGCAAGCACCATGGGGTTGGGAAAAGATCCTAGACAGGATGCTCAGGTTACATGCATACAAGAGGGCTAAGAAGAAGACTTGCTTTTTACTTACTCAGTGCAAAATGAACCATAAATGGCATAAAATGAAGGACAAAGAGCATGTAAGAATCACAATCCACTACACACATGCGCACACACACATGTACACACATACACAAGAATCTTTGTGAAATCTCGTGGATCGAAAAGGTCCTAGAAAAATGAGGCCAGACTGATATTCAGACAGCAGGCAAGCCAAGTCTAATAGCATCAGGCTGAGGGAAGCAAACAGAAGAAGCACATAGGCTGTCATTCAGAAAATAAAAGTGAACAGGTCCAGAGCAGGTTTGGCTACTGCCTCCTGTTAGAAGCAGTAATAAAATCTCTCTTACATACGTATACAGATATACCACATAGCACAGAGACTAGTCACAAACATTTCACAGACATCACGTTATTCTTCCATCTTTAAAACTTCACATACCACAGTGTTTGTGCATAGGGAAATATTTTCTTCTATATTTGCTATAAAACTTAGTATTACATATAAATCACAAGCTTTGATACATCAGTTCTAGGTGAACAATGTACTTTTTTTTAAAATTACAGTTGAGGTGACAATTGTTAAAGTTATATAGGTTCGACTGTACAAGTCTGTAATACATCATCCATATATCATGTTGTGCATTCACCACCCAGAGTCGTTCTCCTTCCATTGTCATATATTTAATCCCTTTTACCCTCATCTACCACCCCACCTCCCCTCTTACCCTCTGGTAACCGCTAAACTATTGTCTGTGTCTATGAGTTTTTGTTTCTTCATGTTTGTCTTGTTCCTTTGTTGTTTTCAGTTTTGTATACCACACATCAGTGAAATCATATGGTTCTTGACTTTTTCTTATTTATTTCGCTTAGCCTAATAATCTCAAGATCCATCCATGTTGTCAAAGATGGCACTATTTCATCTTTTCTTATGGCAGAATAGTATTCCACTGTGTATATATACCATATCTTCTTTATCCAATCATCTATCGAACAATACTTCATTTTCATGTCTTGGCCACTGTAAATAAAGCTGCAATGAACATAGGAGCACATATATCTTTATGAATGTTTTCAGATTTTTTGGTATATCCCCGGGAGAGGGATTGCTCAGTCATACGGTAATTCTATTCTTAACTTTTTGAGGAACCTACACACTGTCTTCCATAGTGCTGCTCCAATCTGCATTCCCACCAACAGTGTATGAGGGTTCCCTTTTCTCCGCAGCCTCTGCAACACTTATTATTTGTCTTATTGATGACAGCCATTCTAACTGGTGTGAGGTGATATCTCATTGCAGTTATTTGCATTTCTCTGATGATTAGTGATGTTGAGCATTTTTTCATTGGTCTATTGGCCATCTGTATGTCCTCTTTAGAGAAATGTCTATTTAGGTCCTCTGCCCATTTTTTAACTGGATTTTTTGTTGTTGAGTTGTATGAGTTCCTTATATATTTTAGATATTAGCCCCTTATTGGAGGCATTGTTTGCAATAATCTTCTCCCATTGGGTTGGTTGCCTCTTTGTCGATGATTTCTTTTGCTACGCAGAAGCTTTTTAGTTTGATATAGTCCCACTCAATTATTTTAGCTTTTACTTACCTTGCCTTTGAAATCAAATTCATAAAATCCTCTTTGAGCCAAAGGTCCACAAGTTTAGTTCCTATGTTTTCTTCTATGCAGTTTATTGTTTCAGGTCTTACAGTTTAGGTCTTTCATCTATTTTGAGTTCATTTTAGAACATGGTGACAGATAGCTGTCTAGTTTCATTCTTTTGCATGTGGCTTTCCAATTCTCCCAGCACCATTTATTGAAGAGGCTGTCTTTTCTCCATTGTATATTTTTGGCTTCTTTGTCGAAAATTATCTGTCCACATTTATGTGGGTTTATTTCTGGGTTTTTAATTCTATTCCATTGGTCTGTGTCTGTTTCTCTGCCAAGAATTTATCTTCAATTTGAAACTGATACATTTCTTCAGAAAAAAATTATCTGACACAAACTCAGTATGTGTTCAAAAATTAGTTATCAAAATACAAGATTTTAGTCTAATCTTATTTCATTTTTAATGAAGTTCAGTTGGTGGTAAAGGAGTTTGTGTTTTTCCAAAAGATTTCTCTGATTTTTAATAAAGTCTTGTGATTATTCAGGACATTGACAGAACTTTTCTTCCTCATGTAAAGTCTCTGATGTACAATGGTAGGTTTGAATTCTGACAGGTCTTCTGACATTTATTGTATTTAGCACATTTCATCCCAGTCTAACAGAGAGTTGCGTAAACTATATGCATTTAACCAAGAGACCAAAATCTATAAGAGCTGAACAGAGTACAAACTTAATTCTGGCTTAAAAAAATAAAACGGTGAAGATCTGTTAGTGGAGAATTCTGTTTCACCTAATTATTAAGGCTCTAGCTTTTTAAACCTTGTCTTCTATTTTCAATACACAGCACCCAGATCTGCTGTGGAAATTTCTCCATTCCAGTATAACACAGACAGTAACAATATAAGGTAACTTTTAAAGTCCAAACTTAGCTTAAATGTAATAGGATCATATTCCATGACCAGTCCCACCTGGACTGGGAAATTCAGACCAGCTATATGCCTAGCACAAAAACGCATAAAGGAAACAATATGCCAGTCTATGTGTCATGAGCTTCTCCACTGTGTTGTATGAGTTCCTTTAGGACATCCCAGATTCATTACATGCAACGATTTTGTCTGGTGTGCATTCTGTTGTGATGTACTCTAAGGGCTGCCTTACGGACCAAAGTTTTCCCGCATTCACTATATGCACAGGGTTTCTCACCTATGTGAATTATCTGATGTGCCTTGAGGTTTTCACACATTCATTATATTCATAGGGTTTCTCACTTGTGTGAATTCTTTGATGGATTATGTGGACTGATTTATAGACAAAGGTTATTCCACATTCATTACATTCATAGGGGTTTTCTCTCTGCTGTGCATTCTGTTGTGATGTACTCTAAGGGCTGTCTTACGGACAAAAGTTTTCCCACATTCATTACATCCATAGGGTTTCTCCCCTGTGTGAATTCTCTGATGTGCACTGGCATTTGACTTCCGGGAGAAAGTTTTCCCACATTCAGTACATCCATAGGGTTTCTCTCCTGTGTGAATTCTCTGATGTACTCTGAGTTTTGATTTAAGGGCAAAAGGTTTCCCACATATACTACATATATAGGGTTTCTCTCCTGTGTGAGTCCTCATATGTGCTCGAAGGTGTGATATCATGTAGAAAGCTTTCCCACATTCACTACATTCATAGGGTTTTTCCCCTGTGTGAATTCTCTGGTGTACCCTGAGGGCTGAATTGGAGGCAAAAGTTCTCCCACATTCATTACATTCATAGGGTTTCTCCCCTGTATGTATTCTCTGATGTGCACTGACATATGACTTCCGGGAGAAAGTTTTCCCACATTCATTACATTCATAGGGTTTCTCTCCTGTGTGAATTCTATGATGGACTATGAGGGCTGCTTTAAAGACAAAGGTTTTCCCACATTCATGACATTCATAAGGTTTTTCCCCTTTGTGAATTCTCTCATGTCCACTGAGGTTTGATTTCTGAGAAAAGGTTTTCCCACATTCACTGCATTCATAGGGTTTTTCACCTGTATGAATTCTCTGATGTGCACTGAGGTGTGACTTCTGGGAAAAAGTTTTCCCACATTCATTACACTGATAGAGTTTCTCCCTGGTGTGAGTTTTCTGATGTGCTTTCAGGGCTAAATTATAGGCAAAAGTCTTCTCACAGTCATGACATTCATATAATTTCTCTCCTGTAGGAATTCTCTGATGTACCCTAAGGGCTGAATTAGAGGCAAAATATCTCCCACAGTCATTATACACATAAGGTTTCTGCCCTGTGTGAATTCTCTGGTGTGCAGAAAGGTGTGACTTTTTGGAGAAAGTTTTCCTACATTCATTACATGCATAGGATTTTACACCTGTGTGAATTCTCTGGTGTACTCTGAGAGTTGAATTGTGAGCAAAAGGTTTCCCACATTCATTACATTCATAGGATTTATCTGCTGTGTGAGTTCTCTGATGTTTTTTGAGCTGTGCCACCTTGGAGAATGATTTCCCATATTTATTACTTTCATAGAGTTTCATCTCTGTGTGTGGTATCTGGTGTACTAAGATGGATGGTTTCTTGTATGATTTCCCACATCCATTGTTATTGTAAGCTTTCTTCTTTGTGTGAACTGTCAGATGTTCACTGAGGTTTGATGTCTGACAGGAAGTTTTCCTACATTCATTACATTCACAGAGATTGACTCCCATATGAGTAGCAGGATAATGAATAGTGTGTGAATTTGAACAAAAGGATTTTCTGGTTTCCTCACATTCATACGGTTTCTCCTGTGAGCGGGTCCTCTGATGCTGAATGAGGTGTGCTTTCTCATAAAAGGATTTCCTGCATTCATTACTTTCTAATGACTTCTCTCCTGTGACACTTTCCTGATGTACACTTAGAAGTGAGTTTTGATACACACATTCCCCATATTTACAACACTTGTAGAATTTCTCATTTGTCTGAGTTCTCTCATGCATTGTAAAGTCTAATTCCTGGGAGAAGGCATTTGCACATTCATTAAAAACACAGAACTTATCTCCATTTTGTGTCTTCTGATGTACTAGATGGGCTGAGCTTTGGTTCAAGTTTTCTTCACATTTACTCCTTTCAAAAGCTCGCTGTCTTGTAATAGTTCGCTGAGGTGGAGTGCAGGGTGAATTGCTCTTGAAGTTATTTTCACTTTCATTACATTCATAGTTTGTCATAGCCCTGTGAACTTGACTGTATTCCACAATGGTGGTTTTGTCACAGGATCTCCCACATTCATTAACAGCAAAGCATTTCGCTCTTGTGCCAGTTATCATTTGGTTAAATACAGATGCTTTATCACAGTTTTTCCTAAAATCATCATCCTGACAGGATTGCTTAACTATTAGACAACTCTGAGCTGTAACACAGACAACAGTCTCATCATGTAAAATTTTTCCAATTTCATTACATTCAAAAGGCTGCTCCACAGTTTGAAATATCTGATGATCTTTCTTAAGACAGAGAGCTTTCACATTTTTATTATATTTGTAAGACCGCTCTTCAGTATGAGTTTTCTCATGTTTAATATCAAGCTGCAACTTTTCACATACATTCATGTAGTCAGCCTTGTTTCTTGAACAGTTTCTACCACTAACAATCAATTCAGAAAGAAGTGGCAAATTTATTCTACATGAATCACATTTACAGGGCATTTTTCCTAAAAAATCTGGAGTTATATCCAGATTAACTGGTTTTCCTAAAATTTTCTGCCCTTCTTTACTCAATGTTTTGTTGTCATTGAATATTACTTGCCACAGAGGTTTCTCTTGTTTTTCCTCGTTCCCCGCAATGTGGACATCAACTTTGTAATATCCTAAAACGACAAAAATGGAAAAAATTGTATGAATCTTACATTTCTTACTGAGAGGAGCTTATAGCCGTATGTTTTGTCATGTATTGTATAGTTTAGGGTCATGTTCCCAAAATTAATAATTCATGCACACAGACAGAGAGACAGACACAGTCAGCCCCTCTCTCTCCCTCTCTCTCTGTCTCTCTCTCTCTCCCTTTCTGTCTTTCTACCCCATCCATGTTGCTAAAAAAAAAGAAAAAAGAAAGAAAGAAATCGATGTTGTTCCCAGTTCTGGGCAAGATGGAGCAGCCCCATTCATACCAGGTCCTCCCCTTTTCAGCTGGAAATCCCTGGAAATAAAATTTAAGAAACAAATGAAGATGCTACAAAATGGAAAGAAGGTGCACTCTTGGACATAAGAAATGACACGGATCAGAGTTACAAGATTTTCCTTCTGCTATCCCACATATCTTATACAGGGTGCTGAAGTGTGGGAGAAGCCTGAAATCCAAAGCCAACAATAGGGAGATACAAAAGAGCTCCATGAAAAGCATGTTTCTTCTAGCCAAAGAGCTGAGAAAAAGGTGGTCTAACAAAATAGAAAATCTTTTTGACAGTATCTACCATACTCAAGCCCCCACACACCCCAAAACGAAAGAGGAAAATAAAGAAACACTCTTCTCTGCAGTTCTACCACAGATATAAAGGATTTGTACACACTTGCTAAATTTTCCTTGAGCCAAAACAAGAACTTATAGGAAAGATCATGAAGAATCCTGAGAAATTTCCATTCATACCACATTCTGGGAGATGGTAACAGCAGCCACTGCCAAAATTCCACCTGGAAACATACTCCTATCTACTCTATGAAACCTGCATGGGAAAGAACAACAAATCTGTTTGATTAAGGCACTTGTGGCCAGCTCATAGCATGTAGGAGAAGAAAAGAAGGAAAACAAAAAAGCACAAAAAAGAGAAAACAGGCAGGAAGACACGGTAGGCCCAATATTACAGCTAGAAAAGATGAAGCCGCACTTGTAAAAACAATACCCTCAAAACCCAGAAACAATACATTAAAAAAGAAGCTGAATTCACATTATTCTCAAATGCACATGAAGCGTTCATCAAGACAGACCACATTCTGCGCTGTAAGACAAATATTTATAACTATAAAAAAAATCATATAAAGTGTGATCTCAAGCCATAACGGGATTATACTAGAAATCAGTAACACCAAGTTATACTGAAAAATGCAAAATAATTCTAAATTCATACAGTTCCAATTAAACCATGGGTCAAAGAGGACATCTCACACAACGTTAAGATATTTTGAATTAAATGAAAACAAAGACTGTTCAAAACATAGAAATAAGTGGCATGCAGCTAAAAGAGTACACAGAGATAAGTTTATATCTTAAAATGTGCACATTAGAAAAGATCTCCAACTAGTTACCTAAGTTTCCACTTTAAGGAACCACAAACAGGGCCAGCCGAGTGGCTCAATTGGTAAGAGCTTGCTCAAAAGTGCAAGCTCTGAGCAACAGAGGTGCTGGTTCAATTCCCACATGGGCCAGTGAACTGTGCCCGAGCTGAGCTATCAACAGGTGGCAGGATGGCTAAGCTGGTGAGAGCACATGTTCCTAACAAAAAGGTTACCTGTTCCAGATGGTGGGCTGTCGCCTTACAGCCAATTCTTAGACCACCCCCTCTGCATTAGCCTCTGACCCATTAGTCGAGAGAGTGTCTCAGAAAACTGAGGCCGGATGGAATGATATCTGTAAAGCTCTCTCGGGGGGCGTCTCGGCCTGACTGGGACCTGATGGAATGATATCAGCTGTCTCCCCTGGGAGGACATGTAATTATGTCTTGGGGCAATGTGGTAGAGTGTGAAGGTATGGCATTTGCTGAAGTACACTGGGAAAAGGTCAATGGAAAAGGCCTTAAGGCGCACAAGAATACACAGTTAATGACTCACAGCACAGCAGTTTACTTCCTTGAAAATAATCAATAAAAACCATGCGTCGACCCGATTCGGGGCTCAGTCTATCTCTGAAGGCTGAGTCCCTTGGTCTCGCTCTTAAATCTTACTTCTGTCTCTTGTTCTTATTCAATCTGCGTCGCCCCTCTCGCGTCCCATTTGCCCTTGCCACGCAGGACGTGACATCTGGCGCTCAACGTGCGGCTCAAAGAAGGGAAGGAAGACTCCGAGTCTAGGTGAATTTTCACAGCGCAGACCCCAGGATGGGCCGGCACTCTACTTGGTGAGAAGTAGGGAAAAAGTTTTGGGGAATTGTACCGGGGTATCCGGAGAATAACCTTACTAACAAACTCTATGTATATGAGAGTGTGTATGTGTGAGTGAGTGATTACAGTTTCAAGATCTTTTGATCGCGAAACTTGCGTGGGCTCCCACCTGCGATTCCGTAATCTGTCGTACGGCATAACGGTGACTGGGCATTTGTCTCTGACATTTACCCACCAGTTCGGGGGCATTATACCGAAGCACCTTCAGCCAAGACAGACTTAGTCCCGCGAGGGACAAGGCCAGGCGAGCATCTGAGTGATTGAGTGAAAGTCTTTTCTCTTCTTTTCTTATATAAACTAACATGGGAAATTCAGAGGGCCGTTTTAGACCTTACATTTGCCTCCTTAAACAATTATCAAAAAGGGGAGGGATGAAAGTATCAGAGAAAAAATTAGAAGAACTTTTAAAAATTATTGAAACCCATTGTACTTGGTTCCCGTACTTGGGCACAATAGACTTAGATGAATGGGAAAAGGTAAGGAAAGATATTTCAGATAAGCAGCTTAATGGAGAGGACATTCCAAACACG